GTGCAACTGCTGATATGCATAGAACTTTTGAACAAGTACAACATCATAGCTCTGAAAATAAATTTTTTGAAGAATCCTTTATTCTTCAGGCATACACAATTTTAAACAAGCATAGTGTTTAGTGAAGCTAAAAGAGATAACTCATCCAAGATTTTCTTGATAATACTAAGTCAGGAAAAGGAACCGTGAAGCACATTCTATTGATGAATTTTCTTTGCCTCATTGTAAGCATTACTGTCTCACTGTCTTTTATAGTCTTTTACTGTGTTCTGCTCTAGTATCAGAATCATGCACACAGTTCTGTTGTTAATATTATAGAGACAGCATATGTTTGTGGGTAAGTAATCTGTCTGTTTACAGTGCCATTAGGAAACCACTGACTCCACCCGTTCACAGGCTCGTCTAAACCTTTCTCTGCTTCTGACTTGCTGAGTGTTTGGTATTCAACACCATATGAGTGATTTCCTGCAGCCTCCATCACAGAGGTTGTTTGGTTACTAAGGAATAACTCTTATGAGGTTAAGAGCCCTGCAGTCACCTTGATCCCAGTGCCAGTGGTTATCTGCGCTAATTCTCTGCTTTGTGCTATACCGCAGCACTGATCAAATCTTACATGTGTCCCTGGGCATGCAGAAGTATGAAAAATTATGGTTATAGATGGAGAGATGTACTACTTTCACACTGTAATCTCTTCAACATATTATTACAGACGAAACGTCATCATTTACCTTCAAAAAAAAAAAAAAAAAAGAAAAAGGAAAAAAAGGAGTGACAAAGGGAAAAGCCAAGTGAGATCGGTTGGAAAAACAGATTTTTTTTTTTTTTCTGTCCTACATGAGAAAATTTGTTCTGTTTTGTGTTCTTTTCCTTGTCATTGGTTCATAGCCTTTTCAGTACACATGCAAGACAACTGCTTCACAGTCAAGAGGACTAGGAACTGCCTTTATGAAACCCAGACCTTATCCTGGAAATGGTCAAGATCAGATTGGACAGGGCTCTGAGTAATCTCATCTAGCTGAAGATTTCCCTGCTCATTGCAGGGGGATTGAACTAGATGATCATTAAAGGCCCCTTCCAATCTAAACTATTCTATGATTCTATGTGTCACACATGATGTCTTGTGTATGGGCTGTTACTGTGAACTCAGCGATACCAGTGGAGGACATTTAGCCCCAGGAGCTAAGTTGCCTCTGTGTTGCCTGTAGTTACAGGTAGAATTTCAGAGAGGGAAAAAAGAGAGCCAGTTCATGGATATAAAGAAGGGTCCACATCAACATTTCCTAAAGCTTTAAAGCCACCCACCTTCACTGTTCTTATTCTGTAAGATTCAACATTTAAAGATAAGGTCCTACAGTACTATTCCTCTTCTGTTCTTTTAATAGTTAGCATGGAAGAATAAATGTTCTTTGTCCATGATCAACAGTTGAATTCCATCTGCTTTCCTCAAGATCACTAAGTAATGGGAAAGGAAAAATGGAACTGAGACTCCTGCTCTTTTGAGAGCTCATAGCAGGGTGCAATTCCTACCTTGAGGGTCAAGTAGCTGTTGCAACATCTTTGCCAGTGGTCCCAAGTAAGGAGTCCCTGCGCAGACCCAGCTCTTTTCCACTCCACATAAATGGCACTTCCACACAGAAATGCCTTTTGCCAGTTCAGAGATCCTGAATGGTCTGTGGGAAAGGCAGATTCCCTCCTCAATTCCTGCCCGAGTCCCCAGTACCCATAACTTGGTAAATGGGACTTAATTAATAGGGATTCCCTTTAATTGTGACTATTTCATTTATAATAAACTCAGACTAGAAATATAAGCAATTCAACTGCTTTTAGCTTGTTAACTGTGCTAGCAGTTTGCACTGTTAGAAGCCACAAACATTTGCATCTCACATCCAGTCATGGGCTCAGTAACCTTTTGGCAGAGAGATGGATAAGAAGGACAAACTGGATAACATTTGCTGTATCTAAAGCCAGGTGTATGCCCATTTCAGAGACTGACTGACATGCAACACACAGAATACCTGCAGTCACCTCCTATCTGGGTAACAATGGATGCTACTGAATTAAACCATGCAAAAACACAAAGCACCTAAACTAAGGTTAGAGGTATCATCTGTAGCAGAACTGTTATGTAGCTTCAGCTGTACAACACTATAAGAGAACCACTGGGGTTTCTTCAGGTGAAAATCAAAGACACAATAACAGGATCAGATGTTTCTGAGGCAATTAAATATTTTAAAAGGTAATATAAGCAACCCACAAAAATTTTCAGCAATTCAGAGGTTACACTGCCATATGATAGCCGCTCTACAGTATGTCCTTCTTATTCCTGCTCTGGTCCCACAGGTAAGCATTAGATGATCCGTGTTGAAGCTGTCATTTGCAAAGCTGAAGGTACATAAAGGGCTGAGTTCAGTTTTAAGACAGAAGTTACCTCAACAGGGAACAGAGCAAAAGAATGAAGCTTTTAGAAGCTGACTGATGTGAAAAACTTCTTCTCTCAAAAGACAAGTATTATTCAAGAAATTGGACTAAATGAAAAAATAACGATAAAAAGAAAAATACAATCCACACTTTTCAACAATATAAAAGTATTCTGCATGAAGAATGCTATGTCACAGGAACTCCTCAGTGGTACAGTGGCAGAGTGAGGGCAGAAGCAGGGAAGGAGAGAAACAATTGGTTGCCACAAGAGAGACTGTTTCCTGCATTTTCCCTTCCAAAAACCTAATTTGTTTGCAGTGACTCTCATCTGAGGAACTTGTGAGCCTTTCCCAACCTCTCAAGCCTACTGACTTTTTTAAAAAGCACACTGATGCCTCTGCCTGAGACCTCTCTCCTTCTTTTGACTTATCAGTGCCACCATTCCTGGGGGCAGCTTTAAGCCATTTCTGTCATGGCACTTGTACATGAAAAGTAAGTTTCACACTCTGAAAGCCCAGTGAAAGGCCACTAGTCCTTATTGTGTTCTGTGGGCCAAAGCTGAGTTACTATAGAAAAATATAGTCATCCTTCAGTCTTACTCTATCTAGTGCAAAGTGAATTATTCTTCATCAGCTTCATGGTCTTCAACCTTGAAAAAGTGAATTTGTCTAGTCTTTATGCAAATTAAATTAATGTCACCCCCAGGTGAAAGGTTTCATGTGACAGGGCTTTTAAATTTAATCTTTTTTCTTCAAATTGTCTGTTATCTTCTACTTAAAAACACACACTGAATATTAAGTATGGGCTTACTGCAGCTATTAATCATTCAGCTAAATAAAACCACTAGGAAGCTCTGAATAGCTGTAAATAAAATAATAGCTTTGCTACCTGCTACCTCTGCAGACCAGATATAGAGTGAAAGACAAAATAAGAGCCGTCACATAGTTTAGGAAAATTTTTGCTAGTTTTGCATTGAGCTACAGAAACATGATCCCTATACATGATTTATTATTACCTAATGATATTTTGCATCCTCTCCCAGCTTACCTGCTGCTATGTTCTAGTATCTCAGGGCTTTTTTACTTAGTGCGTCACGTAAAATGCATATAGGGCATTCTTTTCTCAAATAAATTACGAGAAGGGCCACAGTCTGCTTTCTCATTTGGTGAGTCTCATGATCTTCAACTATAGTATTTTGCAAGCAATCAATACAACTTAACCTATCATTTGCAATTGGGCACTTGCATCTGAAGCACATGTGGCAGAGGTGAAAATTGTACCCTGACCTACTTTGATAGAATTCTTGACCAATTCTTCAAATTAGGTCCTAAAATAACCCTGATGACATTTTACTCAATGTTCAAGAGCAGAAATTATCCATGAGTCAATTCCCTGTGAAGACAAACTTCTTTAATGCATAGCTACTATCATTCAGGTGTCCCTGTCTATGCCAAGGGGGCTGGAGCTAGATGATCTTTAAGGTCCTTTCCTAGCTAACCCCATTCATTCTATGATCTCCCTTTATTTTTGTGGAATATTTTCTTCTATGCTTTGTCCTTTTCTCTCTTTCTCCTTTCTATCATTTTCCTTTCTCATTTAAAACTTAACCTTTCTTATGATGTTTTTTTCATTCTTCTTACCTCTACTAGTCATAATTACCTTTCTCAGGTCAGTGAAAAAATTAGGGTTCGTGTTACCCGAAAGAGTAACAAATCCTTGTGACTTTTCCATGCAGAGCATTTATTAGCTTGTTGGTTTGTTGGTTTGGTGGGATTTTTTTCAGATGTGTGAGATAGATAAGATTTCATTGCTGTTTCACCATAAAGGTAGAAAGTTGCTAATGGAATGCAAAACCAGAAAGATCAGTCTAAGACTGACTTTACAACTGACAGCTCAGAAATAGTTTTCCTAGACCTTTGCAATTTCCTACCTGTTTGTTTCACTTGACGGTGCCTGGCTTTTCTCAGATTGGTGTGTATATTCCTTCCTGAACCTGAGAGGAAATGCATTTCTGTAACACTATTGCTTGTAGTATTCATTTTGCTAATTTTTTGCTTTTTCTCTTTATGATGAAAATAAATTTGGTGAACTCAAGGACCAGCAAGCAGTCCTACCATTTTCATGTTTCTCCTAAATCAAAGTCATTGTCTTAGCTCACCTACTCACTCATTTATCAATCTTTCATGTATTTAACTGTCTTTCTAGTCCACTGATTATGTTATGTTACCTCCGAAAAGAAGAGAGTGTCAGTATTGGAATGCTAACTTCATTTGATCACTCAGAGAATTGCACTGTAATGATCCTCTAATTACAGAGCTGTTGCGCTGTATTAAATCCTTTCTGTATGTGCTATCAACTGTTTACATTGTTCTGCATGTCCCAGACTTCACATTTCCAAATATGCTATGGTGATAGCTGACAACAACATTGACAGATGTAATGTAATGAACAGTGTATGGTTGTGCAAAAGAAATGGAAGGACTTTGAAGATATTGAAATTTGAGAGCAAACCGATATTATCACAGAAGTTTTGACCAGCTCCATAAATCAGTTGATTCTTGTTTTTCTGCTTTTTTCCACAGTGGTTATGTCTTTGATTATGATTACTACAGAGACGATTTCTACAATCGGTATGTGTGGCTATATTTTTGTACATCCTACACATTGCTACTGTTTGTTTGTAATGTAATCCCATCATTTGGTCAAATAGGTCAGTTCTGATTTTACACGTTATTCATTTCATTATTTCTATTGTGTATCAAAAGACTATTTGAATATATCAAAACCAGAGAAGATTACCAGCATCAAATGTATGCTTATTAAACAGCTCTTTTAATTTTATTATTCTCTGAGAGCTTTTGGAGCATTTGCTGTCCTGAATATTTTAATGATAGTTTAAATGCTCACTGTTTGTTCCTACAGAGTTCTTCCAGGCTTACTTTCACTGCAACACATAGCAGCTGTAAAACTCTTCAGTATGACATTCATGTCTTTGTCTTTTCATCCAAGCATATGAAAAGATGTCAAATGTCTCCTGAAGAATGTTCTAAGAACATTTAAAAATCTAGAAGAACCTTGAGGGAAGCAAAAGCACAAAGTGAACAGCACGTGTGTTTCTATAGGAAGAAAAGAATTTGGATACCTCAGCAACTGGAGGTTCTGCCTTGAGTACATGCCCACAGCCTAGCTCAGCACTGTGAAAATTCATTTATCTCTCCACAACACAGGGATAGCATAAATGATCATAAATAACCAACTCATCATCCAGCGGTGCTGTGTCTCTGGGTTAAAGAAGTTTGATTTAGCACAGGCCAAGTGAGTCAGAAGGGGAAAAAAAACATTGCTCTGGCAATGTCTTCTAATCTGAGAATTCTTTTATATAAAGAAATATACAGTAGTAGGGGAACAGTTTGCACCTGGAACTTAAGTTAGCATGTGTTATATACTTTTCAGCTTAAGAATATGGTAGGGAAAATGTAGAAACTATATTTTTCAGGTTTTTTTTCCTGGGGTTGTTTCAATTTGAGCCACTATTTTTGGTTTTCCATGTAAATCACCATGCTCCTTTGTACAAAGCAAAAACTAATAAGATATAAAACATGTGGAGTGAAAGCCACCAGTGCAGTTCAGTTCCACTCAGTCCATCCTTCACAATAGGAGCAGCTCATGTCCTGCAAAAAGTTACCTTCCCAAGGTTATTGTGCTGAACTTCATCAGTGGAATTGTATGTTTTTAAACAGAGTAGTGTTTCTTATCTATGACACATGAATATTAAAGTTGTA